TCAGAGACTCAACAACCAGAAGCAGCGACCAATCGGCCCTCCGATGCCGCTTCTTCGCCGGTGCCGATCATCAAAAGCGCCCTCAAACGCCCCAAGACTTCCCAACAACCCAACACCGAAGGTTTTCTGTTCTCTTCTCCTGAATAAGCTCCGATTTGTGTGTTGTGTTTCATTTTGGTTCTAGTTTTTTAAGGCTTTGTTTGGTTTTCCTATTTCTTCTTAGGAGTTTTTCTTTTCGTTTGTGCCCCTTTGAGCTTCACTTACAACACAATTCAATAGAACTTGATTCTTCTTCTGGGTTCTCGGATCTCAGTTTTGGTTATTTAAAAAAAAGGAAAGAAGGAATAAGAATTGGGGATATGAAAAGGAATGGATAAAAGGTGAGTTGCAAGAATTTCTTAGTTAGAATTCTCGTCTGATTTTTCATCTGGTCTTGGACATGGTTATAATGTTGAATTCTTGGTTAAATTTAAAATTTATAGTTACAGACTTTGATGGTTATGCTTATGAAATGCATAAACTTCAAAAAGTTCCAATTACGTTCTTGAATTTAGAATGAATTTTGACTCTATGTAGTGTCTATCAGGCTTTGTTTCTTTAGATGTTTTGGGATTGTTTGGGCCCATCCTAGAGATTGTAGGGCAATGATGGAGGAAGTATTGTTATTCCCCCCGTTTCGAGACAAAGGACGTTTTATTTGGCAAACGTGTTTTCTGGCTACTCTATGGGGTATTTGGCAAGAGAGAAATAATAGAATTTTTAGGGGGGTGGAGAGATCTGTGGATTATGTGTGGGATCTTGATAGATTTAACACTTCTCTATAGGGATCGGTCACTAAGGCTTTTTGTAATTATCAGTTAGGAGTCATTCTTTTGGATTGAAGCCCATTTCTTTAGGGGTTTCCTTTTGCTGGGCTGTTTTTTTGTATGCCCTCCTTTTGTAGTCTTTATTCATTTATCTCAATGAAAGTGCAGTTTCTTATAAAAAAAAAATATTTTTAACTAAATAATGATATGTCAAGTCTATTGGGAAAAGTAGGTTTTGATACGATGTGGTAAAAAAAATTAGAGTGTCGTAGTTAATAGAAGGGATTTGATACATACAAGTATGTTGCATGCATCACTTTTTTTTTTATTTTTTTTATTTTTTTTATAACTTGGAGTCAGAGCTTTGCTCTCCTGTACCAAGGGCACAAGCGATTTTGGTATTAAGTTCACTGGAAACCTTTAAGCTGGCATGACCAAGAGACCGCAAGCCCTTGCCAACCAGACTGCTTCTAGGGGGCTATGTTGAATGCATCACTTGTTTCGTTCAGTTTTTTGCTTATTTATGTTATTTGTCTATGATGTTGATTAAATAGTTGAAGTTTTTTCAATAGACATACCATGTCATAATTTATTTAATGGTGTTAACAACAAGAACTACCTAGAGAATCACATTTATTTAATGGTGTTAACAACAAGAACTACCTAGAGAATCACAATTCAAAGTATAGAGACATGATTCGAAACTTTTTAAGTTTAGGAACTAAACAGACACCATTTATAGTTCAACCTAAACTTTATATGTTTTTGTAATACCTTTGGTAGAAGCTCAAATATGGACCTTGGTTTTTCAGCTGCAGCACTGGCACAGGAACCAGCACCACCAGGAAAACGCTTAAGGTTCAAAACGACAACAGATGCCTCAGAGACCCAAGTTCTAGAGGCTATGCAGAAGATAGCTTCGCACATCAAGAACCCCACCAAGTTCAGTAAGGCTGCAAAACTTGCCATACAGCTCATTCAGGCAGGAAGTGTGAAGCCAGCAACCAGCGATCGTTTCTTTTCCATACTTGGAGCTGCCATGTCCATGTCTTCATCCACTCCTTGTACAGATCCTTCGGTACGGGGAGATTATCATGCATTGTTCTCAGCTGCACAATCTGCAGTGGAGGTATGATTATCATATTTTAGGTTTTACAGTTGATTTAATGATATTTTCTGAGTCTGTTTACTCTCTCTAAATGGAATTTCAATTTCCTAACAATTTTTTCTTATTTTAATTTTCAGTGCCTTAACAGAAAGCAGAAGAACCAGTTGTCGACATGGACCATTCAGACTGTGTTGGCAAATGATTTGTTGACAGATGACAGCTTTGTGGTATGATATTTTTATGAATGGTTTTGAGTTCAAATTTCTGAAATTGTGGATAAATTTGCATATACATATGGATTGTATTTGTTTTGATTCATTCATATGGTTCCTTAATTGCACTATTACAGGCTGATTTAACATATTGGAGACTGCAGTTTTCTCAAAAAAAAAAAAAATTTCTTTGAAAAATCTGTGAATGGGTTCTTTGGTTTCAACCTTTTGAGTTGGAAACTATGCTCCATACCTTGTAAATGTTGAAGTTTAAGTATAGATTTTCAACAATTGCACTCATTTTATTATTCCCCATACTCTAATCAATACCACTGCTTCTTTGATGTGATTGATGCTGTAAAAGAATGATTTTGGAATTTTTTGAATAACAATTTTGTTTTTTGTTTCCTGTTTTTTGTTTTTTTTTTTTTTTTGTTTTTGCTTTATTATTATTGTTTTTTAAATTAAGCTTATAAAACCTGCATATACTTGTTTGTTTTTCACTTTAAGAACACTTCTGAAATGTTAGCTAAATTCCAAAAGCCAAAAACAGGTGTCTGGAAATTACTTTTTAAGTTGATTTTAAAAGCGGTTTTGAAAATAGATTAGAGAACACGGAGAAATGTTATTAAATAAGCATTATTTAACAGGCCCTTTGTTATGAACTTATTATATGTATTACTGGTTGTAGTTTTCCTTGTTTGTTATTTTTACCATTGTACTTATTTTGATTCTTGGAACATCAATTTTAATTTTTCATGCTTGGGTTTATGAACCTTGTAGTTTTCAAAGACAGCTGGACAAATAAAAGAAGCCATTTCTAATCTTCCAGTTGCAACCAAGGATGATGACATTGAGGAAGCTGAAGCACTTAAAGCTCATGAAGAAAACACAGATGATGAACATCAGAAAAAGCAGTCTGCTGCTCCAGCTGAAGAGAGAGTTAACCAGGAAGAATCCGATCCATTTGGACTCGATGCTTTTTTGCCCGGTTCGCTGAAGAAAGGTGAAAAGGCAAAAGGGAAAAGTGATGTGGCATCCAAGACTAGAAAGGATGAAGAATTAGAGACCAAGAGTTTTCTCAAAGCACAAAGAGAAGCCTTAATTAGCTGTTTAGAAATTGCTGCTCATCGTTATAAAATTCCATGGTACAGATCTGCACTAATTACTTTGTTAATGAGAGTTTCTGGCTCGTCTTCTACAACTAGAATGTGAGATTAATTTATAATTCCTCTCCCAGGTGCCAAACTGTCATTGATATCTTAGTGAAACATGCGTTTGATAATGTTACAAGGTTCACATCACAGCAACGCGATGCGATCGGGAAATTGTGGGCTTCAGTGAGGGAACAACAAAATCATAGGAAACAAGGAAAGTCAGTCTCGGGTAAACTTGATGTAAATGGATTTGAATGGCTGCAACAGAAATATGCCAGTGAGAAGATCAGCATTCGGCACTCTGTTGGAGCAAGTGGCGATCGAAAAGCACAACAGTGGCTTGGTTGACAAGTCGAACTTTCCTCAAATCAAGGTTTTCTGATTTACTTTCCTTGATGTTTCTTCTGACATAAAAATGTGCCTAGATTGTATTGCTGAAATTTGTATGTACATGTATTTAGTTAAATGACCACGATTTGGAATCTTATCTTTACCAATAGCCAAGACAAGAACAATATCCTTCACTAAAGTGGTGAAATCGGTTTCGGTCCCTGACTATTATTGTCCGTCCATAGATTTTCGATAATAGCTTCGTTGCAGTGTGGCAATCATTACAGATCCTCAGATTCTTAACAATTCGGATGGGTGTACCGGGAGCTGTACTTATGAGTCCAAATGCCATGGCCAGTTTCTCACTATGATAATTGAGTGCAGATTCCTTCTCTTCCTCTTCTACATTTAACAAAACGACAGACGTGTCCGGTTCGTATCCTGCCTCTTTCAATTTCATGCACATTTCACCCACCATTTCATAGACTTTTCTTGTTTTTGTACATTTCTTATCACCAGATTTGAAGTGGTGAACTGAACCGTTTACTTCAATCCAGCTGAGTCCTGGTTCTTTCTTCATCCCTAAATTGTTCATTTTTTCTCTAATGCTTGTTACATCAGTCCATCTCTTTGCTGATGCATAGATGTTTGATCTAAGAACACTGTATCCACAGTTTTGTGGGTCCAATTCAAGAAGATTTCTTGCAGCCACCTCCCCCAAGGCCAGATTCTTATGTAGCTTGCATGCAGCAAGCAGAGCGCCCCATATAACTGTGTTTGGCTTCATGGGCATGTTTTGTATGATGGTGTGAGCTTCGGTGAGATATCCAGCTCGACCGAGAAGATCCACCAAGCATCCGTAGTGCTCGAGCTTTGGAACAACTCCATAGCAATGAACCATTCTGCTGAAATGCTTCTTGCCTTCTGCTACCATTCCAGAATGACTACAAGCATGAAAAAGGGAAATGAATGTGATATCATTTGGTTCAACACCATGGCTCTCCATTTCTGAAAAGAGCTCTAAAGCTTCTTTTCCTCTACCATGCATTGAGAATCCTGCAATCATGGCATTCCACATGCTGATATCTCGTTGTGCGTCTTCATCGAACAAGCTACGTGCAATTTTTAGGTCTCCACATTTGGCATACATGTCGATAAGAGCTGTTTTTAGAATGATATCGACTTCAAGGCCATGACGGTGTATGTAGGCATGAGTCCACTTGCCATAGTCAAGGGCTCCGGCTTCTGCACATAAAGAAAGAAGACTAACCATTGTCACCTTGTTTGGTTTCACTTTGTTGCTCAACATCTCGAAGAAGAGGTCGAAAGCTTGATCGATGCAACTCACTTGTGCATAAGCTGATATCAAAGCACTCCAAACCTTGACATCTTTTTCATCAACGCCATCAAACAGAGCTCTGGCATGTCTGACTTGCCTGCACTTCCCATACATATTAATGAGGGCAGTGGCCAAAGCAAGAGACATCTCAAAGCCATTTCTTAGTAGATGGGCATGAAGCCATTTGCCTAAATCCAGAGCTCCCACAAAACCACACTCTGAAATCAAACCGAGGAATGTAATCTCATTAGGAAAGACTTCTTCTTCCCGCATTCTTTTGAAATTCTTTGCCCCTTCTTCTATCTCGTGACAGTGAATGCAACTCGCTATCATGGCCGTCCAAGAAACAACACTTTTTCGAGATAACCCGTCAAAAAGCCTCTGTGCTGAGGCCAAACATTCACATTTGCCATACATATCAATCAATGCAGTTCTCATAGGAACTTCCATTTCCTTGTCACTTACATTTCTTATGATATAACCATGCATTGCCTTCCCCGACTTCATATCCGAGAGCTCCCCGAAAACATCGATCATGCTAATCATGGCAACATCGCTAAGCTTCACTCCCACAATATGCATCTCTCGTACAAGTCTAAAAGCTTCCCCGTACAATTTGCTCCGCACATAGCACCTGAGCATTGTACTCCAGGACACAGCATCTCTGTGAGGTATTTTATCAAACACCAAGCGAGCAGAAATCAAGCTTCCACATCTCTCGTACATGTTCATCAAAGCATTGCATACAAAAACACATTCACCGAATCCACTCTTAATCGCGAAACCGTGCAGTTCCTTCCCCAAAGTCCGACAGGAAGCTTGGGCACATGCTTTGAGAAGCGAAGGAACGATGAAATTATCAAGTCGGGTATCGCTATCGGTTCGACGCAGGTGGAGGTACAAGTGGAAAGCAAGATGTGGGAATTGGTTGGAGGTGTAAGAGGAAATGAGGAAATTGAACTTTGCTTCGGGGCTCAAGTTTCCGCCATGGAATTGGGTTTTGATGAAACGGGCATGGAGTTGGTGGGTCTGTTCCAGATTCAGCTGCCTTCGGAGGAGAGAGGGGGAGGAGAGAGATTGAGGAGAGAGAATCAATCGATCCATTTACCATCTCTATCTGTAGAACAGAGCCATTGGCCTTCTCTCATTCACCGAAATATCTTCTATTTCCACATCAATAACCCACTAAAGTTTAAATAAAATCAAACAGTTATTATTTAACCAATTTTTGATCTATCTATTTATTATTTTTTTAAGTACAATATATAGTGGTTGAGATTTGAATTCATGACATTTTAGTGTTTGGAGATAGGCGTCTTAACCAATTAAGTTATATTCAGATTGATAATTTTTTTTTATTTGTCAATTAAACAAATACATAAATTATATCCAATCTCTAATGACGAGTTTGGTTGATGATTTGAAAAAAAAATCTAAAGATAATTTAAGAAAATACAAAGTTGTATTCCATGCCTTAAGTGTTATATGTGTTTGGTACCATATTTCAATTTTAAAAAATGGATTTAGTAATATATTTGTAAACAAATGGTAGTTACTAACTAAATATTTAGTTCAATGTAAAATAATACTAATTAATTAATTAATATGTATGTATGTTACAAATTTGGTAGAATTGCTATTTTACAATATTATGTAATTTATAGTATATTATATTTTACACATTTTTAATTTCAACAAAAAAAATAAAAATGAGTTTATAATATAAAATAGTATATTTTATCAAAATTTTTATTTTTATAATATAATTTTGCATTTTAAAGTTTCAAATTTAATAGGTGAAAAATAGAGTTGTTTTTAGAATTTCTACTATTTGGACGACAGAATTCAAAAATAAAAATAGAAAAACATACAAAATCTTCCCCTAATCTTTATTAACATACCCAGAGAATAAATAGTATACAAGAAGTTACACAACAAATAAATAATAACTAACCACGAAGCCTGCTTGCAGAAAATAAGGAAGACAAAATAAACTACTTAACCACACCCACTGATGTGACGAATGAAGAAGGTACAGCAGCTGATACATTCAGATATCAATGAAACGATGTCGTTGTGTCATCACTTTTAACACCGCCCCTCAAACGAAACTGTGCAGGAAGCACGTTGAGTTTGCTCATAATATTAAACCTATATTCTTATAAGGCTTTGGTAAAACTATCTGCCAATTGAGCTTCAGAAAGAACATAGTGCAAATCTAACTCTTTTCTCTCAACTTTATCTCTAATAAAATGAACATCTAATTCTACATGCTTGGTTCTTGAGTGAAAAACAAGATTGATTGCCAAAGATATTGCACTGATGTTATCACACCATATAATTGAAACAAATTAAGGACAATGTTGAATTTCAGTCAACAAATATTGAATCCAAGAAATTTCTACTACAGTGTGAGCCAAAGAGCAATACTTTGGTTCTGTACTAGACCTTGCAACCACATGTTGTTTTTTAGAGGACCAAGAAACTAGAGAGTAACTAAAAAACACACAATAAACTACAATATACTTTCTGTCATCAACACTACAAGCCCAACCAACATCTGTATAAGCAAAAAGAGATAGACTATCCGACTTTGGAATAAAAAGACCATGAGACAATGTTCCTTTAAGATACCTTAGAACCCTTTTTACTTCTAACGGACGAATGTGAAAAGCCCTGGCCAAGCTGAAGGCCTACCTGACCTCCGCCTGCTCTTAGCAAAACTGAATCCGAGCGACGACCTATACCTCTACCTTTGTTTGTTTGAGAATGCAGTCAGCTTGGCATAATAAAGGAAGAAGGGGGGAAAGCAATCCCCAATCTATTACACCAACAAGGCCATGATAGGCTTAGAAATCAAATACACCCAAGTCGAAAAGATGGCGCTTGCCCTCGTCGTCTCGGCTCGGAAGCTACACCCCTATTTCCAAGCTCATCGAATAATAGTGCTAAGTAACCACCCTCTCAGTCAAGTGCTCCAAAAGCTAGAGACATTTGGGAAGATTATGAAATGCACGGTCGAGTTAAGTGAGTACGATATCTAGTACTCACCAAGGACTGCCATAAAGGGGCATGTCATAGCTAAAATGACGCCGCCTCCAGACTCAGAAAAATGGAAACTCCACGTCGACAGATCGGCGAACGAGCAGGACAGTGGGACATGGATACTTCTGACCACTTCTGAGGAAAGCCGCCATGAGTATGACCTACAGTTAAAATTCTGTACCTCCAACAATGAGTCGGAAACAAAGCTATGATCGCGGGGTTATGATTGGCAAAATTGATGGGAGCTTGGGGCATCTACGTCTACAGCTACTTGCAGTTGGTCGTCAATTAGATCAACAAAGAGTACCATGCCAAGGATGGTAGAATGGCTTAATACCTCTGGAAGGTACGAGCTCTGCTAAGCTCCTTTAATAGTTACATAGTCGAACATGACCCCCGATCGAAAAACTCGAATACCGATTTCTTGGCCCAACTTACCTTCTCGTATGAAACAAACCTCCCCCAGACGATCATGGTCAAAATCATGGAGGAGTCAAGCTTGGACGAGGCCAAAGTGATGGACATCGACCCGTTCGGTGGGGAGGGCTAGATGACACCATTTGTCAAGTTCCTGGAGAATGGAGAAACCATTGCAGGCCGTGTTGAAGCTCGCAAGCTGACGCAATGCGCAGCTCACTACATTTTGAAATAGGTGGTCTTGTACAAGAGAGGATATTCGCTCTCACCCCTCAGTGAATAAGCTTGGAGGAGGCAGAATATGTACTTAGCGAAATCCATCAAGGCACCTGCAGCAGCCACCTAGCCGGCCAATCACTAGCTAATAAAGTACTACGCTAGGGATATTATTGGTCAACCCCGCTAAGGGACTCAAAGAAATTTGTTTGGAGATGCGACCGATGTTAGAAGACGACCACTATCCCTAGATTGCTAGAAGAACCATTGACTCACCTCATAGCCCCCTGGGCGTTCGCACAATGGGGAATAGACTTGGTAGGCCCACTCCCCATAGGGATGGACCATGACTAAGTTCGCTGTGGTCGTAGTCGGCTACATCACCAAATGGATCGAGGTCGAACCACTGGCCACGATCATCAAGCAGAAAGTGTCGAACTTCGTTTGGCGAAGCATAGTATGCCAATTTGGTGTGCCAAACACAATCATCTCGGACAATGGAAAGCAGTTTAACAATGCTAGTTTCAAGAGATTCTGCTCAAATTTGGGGATCAGGCATCTCTACTCCTTGTCCACCCATCCTCAAGCCAACGAGCATGTAGAAGTCATAAACAAAATCATCAAGAGAAAGCTTAAAGCAAAGATCGAAGGCTGAAAGGTCTAGGTTGAAGAACTTCTTAGTGTGATTTAGGCATACAGAACCACGCCCAAACATCCACCGGTGAAACACCCCACTTGCTATCCTTTGGAATGGAAGCTATCGTCCTAGTAGAAATGAGCAAGAGAAAAAAATAAGTAAGTCATCTGGAACTCCCTGGATCTCTTGGAGAAGCATAGAGAAGCTGCTCAGCTTCAAGTCGCTTAGCACAAAAATCAAGCAGCCAAGTAGTATAATTTTTGAGTGAAAGAGCAATTTGTCGGGTAGATTTTGAAATTTGTGGATTTAAAATCTAAAATTAAAGGGTAAATATTATTTTTTATAGGGAAATTTAAGAAAAACTAGGATCCTAACCTTGTCATTTAGGGTTTGCAGAGCCACCGCCTCTTTAAACTACAGGCTGCTCCCCACCCTCCAAATTTCATCTCCATCTACCATCGTTGTCCGCATGTCGCCCGCATGCTGTTGCTTCCAACCAGTTGCCATTGGAACTCAGCTGCAACGTGGCCCGCCGCCGTTCTGCGTCACCCAAACCAATCCACTGGTCCATCTGCATGCCCGCCATTCGGTTCTTATCCAACGTCGATCGAGATCCACCATGTTCAAAAAAGAAAAGTGCGATTCACCCTAAATCCCATTCAAAAAGTCACGTGAGAGGAAGACAACAAAAGGGGAAATTATGAAAGACRTGTGAGAGGGAGAGTGGGTTCACGTTAGAAAGCACCTACACCACACACTTCTTTTAAACCCCAAAAAAATGCTAATAATAAGAGAAATATTATTATCATTTTTTTAAAAAAATTGTAGATTTGTATTCTTATTGAATTAACGTTGGGTGGTTGAAATTCAATTTTGGTATCTCATGTTTTAAAATATTTGATTTTATTTTTGAAATAAAGAAACGATTGTGACATTTATAAATGTAATATAGGAGCTGGCAATTATTTAATGTTAAATATCTATTTCGCACTATTAAGTTTATAATTTAGATTGTTATGGGAAGATAAAAGAAGAACAGACCAAGCGACAGAAGCAGAGACTAGGTCGGGAAAGAAGGCGCACGAACCAGGTAAGCACTAAAACCGTCGACACTGGTTGGCCACGGTCGATCCGTCATCGGTGCTCGGCGCCAAAGTGTTCTTGACCAGTGGCCGAGAACCCTCCTTTGGTTCCCCTCAACTTTTGTGCAGCCCGATCCGAACCTGTCCTATCTCAACCCTCGGTCCAACGTTAGGTCCACGACGAAACACATAGGCCAAGGAGTCTAGATCTCCTGAGCAAACTAGGATTTGACTTAAGTAAATCCTAAAAGGATTGGGATTCAACTTCTATAATTCCTAAAGGGATTAGAATTCGACTTTTATAAATATGAGGGTGAACAAAACCCTAAAGGTACACTAAAATACGATATAAGTCCCTACTATTTGGTACGGTACAAATCTCTACTCTTTGCTACGTTGAAATACCCTACTCTCCATACTCGACTACTCTGATTCTGACTTAAGCATCAGAGCCTGTGTGGTAAGAGTCAAACCGGTCTTTAGTACTATTTTGTTTTGTAGGTCTCGTCGATCTTTTTTATTCTAGAAGATTGGTGTGAATTTGGCAGAATCTTTGGAGGCCAAATTTCTGCATCAATAATTGGTACCGTCTGTGGGAACGATTAAGATGTAAAAGTCAAGAAGATTAATGAAGAATTGACTAAGAACTGCTCCGATCCGAGGAGGTCTAGGGAAAAACAAATCAACAAGTTCTGAGGCAAGACCCAAAACGAACGAATCAACAATTCCAAGACTGATCTTTAAGATAAGTCAACCCATCAGAACAAGAAGATGAACAGAAGAACTGCTCAGACCCGAGGAGGTC